AATTCATTGTATAAAATATATATATATATGTATGTATTATTATTATTATTATTATTATTATTATATTATTATTATTCAATGCTGTTGCCAGAAAAACATACATGATAGTTTGATAAATATTGTTATTGGCCTCTCTCGGCGTATTTCTTGCTGCTGACGTCATGTGTCTTACTTGGTCTCTGACGTCATAGCATCCGAGACACTTAGATTGTTGTAAACGATAAACGACGGGTGGCACTTTTGAATGCTTTTCCACACTGGGGATAAAATTTGAAAGAAAGCTTGCGTTTTGGTTCACATTTTTATCTCGCTTACTACCGCATTGTTCATTTCCAGATTAATAAAACAATTATTGCCATCGGTCAATATCAAACAATATAGCCCACAAGTTGGCCACAGTCTTTGGTGCCGACTAATAACAGCAACTTAGGTTCCCAGGCGAGGCCGATAACTGTATAAGTAATGCCATTATAATAAAATATGTTTATATATTTGGAGTAGTAACTATTTTCACTTCTGGTCCAGTTAAACTTAAAGGAAACAACATAATGAACCCTCAAGAAAAAGCTCCACAAATGTAGAGTGCAAATTACAGTTTTTTTATATCACTATTCATCCTCTAGATATTCAACTTTTCATCAGTATTATGTAGTCAGCCATCTTGATTCTCAAGCAAAGGATTATGAGTAGAGTATGACATCATAGAATCTGTTTTCAGAAATTGAGAAAATGATTTTATCTATAACATGAGCAATACTGATCCGAATTTTTTTCAAATTTTCGTTGTGCATATTATTCATGTATACAATTATAGTAATGTAAATTAAAATGCCATGGTATTAAAATACCAATGCCACGATTATTTACTTTGAAATAATATTTTCGTATTGATTGTTTTTGGTTACTTCGTCGTCGTGTAGTTTAGTGTCTCAGACTTCCCGGATTGCGTAAAACGGATGTGATTTTGACACGGAAAATGCCTAGGCTAAATTATTTGTTGAGTGATAGACGCTTCGGCATGTGCACTTTAACTTGTACCACATAGACCTAAGGGGAAAGCAAATGAGGTGACTTTGCGCAAATGTACGTTCAATGTCTCTACAGTAATCACAGTTTTCATCTCTCGCTTATCATAATACACTCAAAAGCGATTTACTCGAGTTCTCCACCAAGGGCAAACAACCGATTTCAGACAGTTTTGTGTGCTTCATGTGCCGTAAATTGTGGGTTTTTTTTTGGGGGGGGGGGGGGGTCATCACCGTCGTCACTGGAGTCTTGCCGATAACGATTTGGTCGCAATTTCCGAATCTATCGCCGAGGTAATTAGAACGAACTCGATTTTTTTCAACTACTGCTCATAAAATATTAGCATAACAATGTTTTTCCTCCTTTGTCGCTAAATTTATTTATCATTGACTTTTCCCCACACCAGAATGGGAATCGATGGAAACACCAGTTACATCACTTACGAAGATTGTTTATTCGATTCGATTGATATTGAGTGTTGATTTCGATTAATTTCTGTTAATCATATCGCTGCTGTGGACGGCGATGGCTGACAGATTGTTGTGGTTCTGCGGTTTTCTTGGCACGGATAGCTTATATTTTGTTGTCTGTCTTTTTAATATTCTGACGTTTATACCAGTCAGACACTGACAGTAATTAAGTAAACGGTTCGGAAAATATACTAGATGGGACTTTGAATCACAGATAGGCTCCGAAGATAGCGTCATCATACAACATCAATGAACGAAATTCACATTACAATTTATGTTTCCGAATAATCCTATACTTATGATGTAGAACACGCCATAGCAAAACATAGCGGATAGGGAAAATACATTATTATGGCAAGGGAAAATAATGCTTCCTTTGGCCCAGGTTATATAATCACAATTCCCTTATTAAAATTGCATTTTGTGAATGAACATGTATGTATTAAAATACGTACACATCAAAACTTCAAATGCAAACATAGTACACATGCAAAGTAAACAAAATTATCGAGGGTGATTTTGGATTTGTTAATTGATGGTGAGAATTGCAAAGCCGGTATATAACATTTTGTAAATATCACTGACCACGGAAGACGCCTATTGCGAAATGTCTTTAGGATTACACACATTATGCAATACAGAAAGGACAACAAATATTAACCAGGCTTTTCAGGATGAAAATCGAACTATTTTCAAATTAAAGCAAAAATTTAAATGTGTACAACAGCAAAACAAAACTTTATTTTCTTTTTTTAATAAAAAAACAACTAAATTTCACTCCAAGGAGATTGTTAGGGGAAGTGATTCTAATCTAAACCAATTAGATAATTCAAACAAACCTGATAGTTATCAAAACTCAGCTGCCAGTTAATATGACAATTCTTTATAATAATAGACAATCGTTCTGGGGATTATTAAGTTTTAATAA